GAAGCTGCAGCAATGTTGTCTCTCACCTTGATCTTCCAGTCTCTGTACTTCTCAGGTGTGGGGAACTTAGGAATGAGAATTTTATCAGCCTCTTTGGCTTTGCTCTCATGATCCTTGTCTTTCGACTTCCTTTGCTGCTTCTTCAGCTCCTTGCGGATGATGCGTGCAAGGCGCGATGATTCAGAACTTGAGTCATTGGAGTCATCACTCCCTCCTGACGAACTGGGTGACGAAGGTGATGGGGAAGGAGAGCGTTTCTTTCTGCGCTCCCTAGAGCGGCCCCTTTTTGGGCTTTTCTCTTTCTTCCTCTCTTTACCTTTCTTCTTCTTGTCTTTCTTTGACTTGTCACCACCCTCTTCATCAGCATCGGATGGATGAGGCTCTTCACCGCCTTTGATCCCGGGCTTCTCCAACTGAGTGCGAAGACTCGCCGGAGGCAAAGCTGGGGATGCCTGAGACCCAAGTTGCTGCATTGATGGTGCAGGCACTCGGCTCCCCGAGGCGTTGTCAAACCTCTCTCTCAACTCCTTGATTATTCGACTCTGTTCAGCTAACTCCGACCGAAGTGCATCCTCTCTTTGCTTGGCAGAGGCGCGTTCGTTCTCAACGACGGCGTGTCGTTCGAGCGAAAGGCGATCTAGATAAGCCCGTTGTTCATGAAGATGTTGATTTTGGTGGGCTTGGTTCATGTCACTCAATCGTTGATTGGCTAAAGCCTCAATGTGTTCCCTAGACTCCTGGACAGCCACTTTAGCTTGGTTCTCCACTAAGTCTCTAAAATGCCTTGCATCCTCTGCTACTTGTTGCCCATGCTCGGCCAAAATGGCCTGATGTCGCAGTTCCGCGATCTGAGCTACCTGAGCTGACCTATCCTCATTGACGAAGACGGCTTGTTGATGAATCTGTCTTGCATCAACGTTCTGGACATTCATCACAGGAGAAAACTCAGGTTGAAACGGCGACGGAGCTTGAACACTAGGCAACAGGTCCCCCTGTGCACTGAAAGTCGGTGGCCCAATTGGCACACGCAACTCCAGCGGAACGACAGGGAGCTCAGGAGCAGGTGAACTTGACATCGCAGGCGAAGTAGGAACATAGCCTGAACGTGAGCGGTCACCACGGGAACTATCACCATCAGCCATGGCCTCTAGATAGTGCACTACCTATGGGTGGGTGAGACCAGGGCTAGTACCAAGCACGTACCGCACTTATGGCGATACGGCTGATAACCTGTAGTTACAGGAAAACGACCTAGAAGCGCCACCTAGTCGCACCTTGTTTTCCTTGAGCCAAAGTCGTACGAGTGAGACGTAAATGTCATTATACTAGCGTGAAACTACAATTACGATTATGGCACAGTACTGATGTTCCTCTTCATCATGCATTATAGATGAATTGTGCTCGGCTCCTTTTCATGTTTTACTCACTTTTGATTTCTGGCTGCTCGCCAAGCTGCGCCTTTGAGCCTGGCCCGGTGCCTTTTTGAAGAAGAGCTTGCGCTGCTGTGCCGATCCTCCTGGATCTTCAAACATATTGCTTCTTCTTTCGTTGTTTCGTTTTGTTCAATCAACTATCGAGCAAATTCGCCTGACCAGAAGGACCAGAGAGGCTCAAGTCAACATCGCTACCTGACCTCACACTTGGTGACACAATCAATCCCGCAATGGAAAGAAAAGCGCGTCGAGCCTTGAACTCAACTTTCTCGGATGGCCTTGAAGGCTGATCTTGGGTGAATGGGATTACACAATCTCAAAAACATTACAAAATCTTTAGGGGCTCCTGGCATCGCTACTAGGAGCAAGGACGCTACTAGGGGCTCCTCATCAACATGAGATGCGAAGGACTTGAGATGACTCGAGCCTGCATCTAAGTCGGGATGGTCCGGAACATCGTCTTCGCCGATGCCTGTCATCAACGCCGATGTTCTTCGATGCAGGCTGTTTATGTCATTGTCTTCGTGGCTTTGCTAGGGAAAACGCCGTCCACCAACTGCGACAGGTTTGTGGCATTTTGCCTCGGGGTGCGACTGCCCAACACCCGTCGATAAGATATCCGTTCTCCGCACAGCTGAAAAAGTCCAAGGGGCCGAATCAATTTCTTTGTTGGACGAATGGTCAGGGAAGTCTTTGACATCTGCCGCTTCCACGGTGCAACCAACATGGGCTCCTCCCTCGGCAAATGAACGCGTCAGCAGTCAGCAATTCTTATGAATTCCAGGGGTGAACTATTCTGGTCCTTTCTGACCTCGGTCAGAAAGCTGTTGAATGTTTATGTGTATATATATATATATGTTTGCCGTGCTCCTGTTTTGGGCAAAGCAACAAGTGTGCAACCTCCGCTAGGTCCTAGCCTTGCAGCAAAGAGTCGGTTCTTCATTCTCTTCGTTCTCTTCATTGTTCTCCTCATCCTCTTCCTCGCCACCTTCCGTCACATTGATCACTGGTATTGGAGAGAGCTCTTCGCCTAACTCCTTGCAAGCAGCTGCAAGTATACAAAATGCACGACGTGCGACGATTCCGGCGACGAAGGCTTGGTGTTCATACCAAACCATGGTCCTTCACCAAAGACACTCGATGTTCCACTGGACCTTGCAACCGCAACACAGAACCTTCAATCTTAAATACGAGGCCCGTGACATCAACACACTCTCAACCCATGTTATCCTGCCTTGCTGAGGGGATGCTGCTTGCACCTGCAGTGAGAAGAGCAAAAGCCTTGATGCATCTTTAAGGATCTGCTCAAACATGGGTGAAGGACTGTGAAGACTTCAACAGATTCCGCACCTCTGGTAATTTTGGCAAAGTCGGAGCACTGCTGCCTAAGTAGCGTGGTATCTTGAACAACTGCCGATGGTGTGGTGTTCTTCCAAGTGTAGCGGCGTAGCCCATTGGTATTCGCTATAAGACCAGCCCGTCTACCGAAGAAGACTTGGGCCTTGTTTTAAATCACGAGCAACATGTTCCTGCATTTTCCTTCCACCTGCACATGTAGGGCACTCATGCGCCAAGAAGCGATTGTTGTCAGTCTCCTCTGATTGGCTGGCTTTAAAATGCAGTGAGCCTCTTGCTCATCCCGGCTATTGTTCACACGAACACATCACGCCCATCTAAATACAGCAACTTGATCCACAAACTATGGCCAAATCTAACATGCCTGAGCTCAAGCTCCTGCTTTGCGCTTTCAAACGTGCTCTTTCTCTTCGGTCTACCATCTTGGCGATGCCTTAATTACTACCCAGCGTTGTTTGAAACGTGCCACACTCATGCAACTCAGCTCTCTCAGGTCTCAACTGCTCCAGGAGTAGCAAAACTGGGACCAATGTGAGGTCTCAAGTTGAAATGTAATGCATGAGCTAGGTGAGGCCTGCTGAGTGAGACCCAGCTTCCCGCGCGAAGGTCCTGATGCCCCAGGCAAGTCAGCTCAAAAGCATCCTTGGACATGTTTTTGGCAAACTCCTGCCACGGCATGTCGCGCACCACCGCTTTTTGTGCCCTGCCCTTCACCTGCAATGGAAGCAAGTGTCAGGCTTCCTCAAAAACAAAAGCAGTAGTTGCAAAGCACACTTGACTTGACGCGGTGCTGCTGGCATTTGCTATCAAACATGCTTGAGAGGGGGGTTGGACGAAAGGCACAAGATAGGTAGGTGGGTGGGTAGGTCGGTGGGTAGGCAGGCAAACAGGCAGGTAAGGATAAGGAAGGAAGGATTCTGTGGAAGGATGTGTATAAGTTTAAGTGGTGGCGTCAGGATGCGGCCGCAAATCCACATTAGAATCTCTGCAGCAAATAACTGCATACATTGCAATGTCGCTTCTCAGATCAAACATTCGGGGTCACAATGAACGCTCCCGAAAAATCATAAAACATCTCCTGTATCGTTGTATGATATCTGATGAGTTTGCCAGACCTACTAGGGCAATGAAGTTGCTAGTGCAGCTTCGCCTTCCACTCCATAGCACCAATCCAACATCATGAAGAATCGTGGCCTGGTGGCCCTTAGATCTATTCTAACGGGCTCTGAATTCTATTTGCCCTTCGATCACCTGTACGTTCATTGTCCAGCAGCCGGACTGGAAGAGGTGGTAGGTAAGTGGATGCCCCGACGACCATCACCTCACAAGAATATCAGGAGCAGCAACTTTCCTATAAAGAAAGAACACCATAACAAAAAGCACTCTTGTCATTGAAGATTCAAGTGCAGGACTGAGATTGCCCATGCGTGGAAGCCCAACGGCGAAGTTTGGGTTCCCAAACCGTCTTGGGCCAAGCTGCACGCGCAGGTTGCAGGTATAGGGTTTCTCCTAACATTGAAAAGGAACCCGCATAGTAGAGGATTGGGATACTTTTGTAGCCTTCAGGAACAGCACACAGTAAAAGCCCCCAGTTTTGCAAAGCTTTGCCACCTTCGAAACGCTCTTCGCTTTACAAGTTTCAGAAGGACTGCCGCCATGTTGGGGCGTAGGAGGCTTTGCTCGTCAGGGTCTTGATCAGGTGCTGTAGTGAATTACTCTATGCAAGCAAACACATACAGTATATATATAATACATATCATATATATATGTATATATGTATACTACATGCACTAACCAAACACCCACATCCTTGGTGAAGGACCAGTCTGGAACGTCCCGGTATTGAATATCTTTGTACCTGTCAGGTGCCTAGCATGCGCGGCTTGCTACAAATTCCGGCGGAATGGGCCACAGCGACACAAGACTGAGCCTCCTGGGTTTCCATCGATTTCATGAACTGAATTCTGTGGTTCTGTGGCCAATTTCCTGTGCATAAAAAGCAGCGAGCGCCTGACATGGTGTCCATGTCTCCATGCATCGACTCATGTTGTCAAGAGTCGCTGGGGTATTCCATGCCAGGCGCCGCACACAAAATCTGCGAACCTCACTCCTCCCGCTGGCGCTTGAGGTCTCACTACCCTTGAGACAAGGACTCCCAAGTGTCATGAGCATCGTTTTGTTCCTTGACAAATTTACGTCTCGGTGTGTGACTCAACTAGCGCGGCCACCACCCTCAATCTTGTCCACGGCCAGCAAGCTGCACAGGATAATAAGAAGCGTTTCAGTGCATGTTCAAAAGTGGTTGGATTATGGTCAGCATCAGCACGCAGCTGCCAACATCGACAGGATATGAGGTACCAAACTGTCAACTGAAGAGATCTTCATTGTTCACGGAGCACACCATGGTCAATTTGCAACCTCCCAATTAAAGCCGAGCTGATTGCCCGAAAAGCAATACCCTTTGCCTGCATAGGACCAATCCGGCATCAGTACGAGGAGCCACGCGCACCTCCAAAAAAGCAATCTGATGTGTGCTTTCAATTGAGGCAACAATCATTGCGTGACCGCACCTTATCAACTGTTTCTTGTTGACGGATCGAGGTGCCAGTAGATCAGCATAGATCAGCCAATGACAGCACAAGTTGAATTCATTTGACATCAAGGAATTGTTGGGCTCCTCCTGCTAGGAGTCACTCGGCTGGGAATGCCACAGCCACTCTCATGTCGGATCTCTTGAAGCTAAACTCCATGTTGGATCATCGACCAAAAAGGTGTTTGTGAAATGGTGAAGCCCCTGAAACCGTTGCTCTTGGTTGAGAAGCAGGGTCCGCTCATATCAGAAGGTAAAGAGGAAAGAAACCTCGACTGACCTGCTGGCTCGGATGATAGCTCGCCTGGTAGTGCTCGCCGCCGTCCAGCCTCTCACTCACTGCCACCAACTGCCCTGACCTGGGATGCAAACGCGGCAGCATCCGATGGGATTATATGAGGGTTAAAAAAAATAACAAGGGCCCAATACACTGATCACTTGGCACATAAGGACCCCACCCACTGATCACTTTGACAGCCTTTTCTTTGAAGTTCCCTCAAGAAGCAAACAGACTTGACTCGACTCGAACTAAATCCTGTGGGTTGCCTTTCGACTCGAAACACCGCCACCCTCAAGGCCTTCCAACTTCAAGAGCATTTCATTGTTGTTGTCTCGTAAGACGTATTCTTGACCTTTCAGGCAGTCTGGGCGGAAGGCGGACCATTGCAAGCCAAGCATATTCGAACTTTTGAGTGCTGGGCCACGTCTCTCCATGGTGCAGAACACCTGACAGGAACGTGTTACATGTTTCGATATGTTTCAGCATTCGCGAGTCTGATCCTCAAGCCGCCCCCAACCTCTCCCGAAGCTAGGCAGATCTGAGGCAAGCTGGTGGGCCATCCATGCAGCATGTCAGTGCCTCATCACACGAATCTTCAACTCTTCCTGCTGGCAATACCACGAAATGTCACGCGCAAGCACTGACCGATCTGATCCTCAAGGTCAAACATCCTTTATAAAGCTTAAGTTTTCATGAAACAACTGATTCCATGATTTTGGTCTTGCATGTTGTTGCTGCTGACTGACGAGTATACATCAGAGCTCGGCGTATGGAGGCAAGTGGTTCTTGATCAAGCATCTGTAAGAAAATTCCACATTGCGGCCTCAGATTCCAACGTAGGGGCTTCTGTAACTGCAATGAGGATCAATGAGGCACTGAGGGTTCAAGCCCCAATCCGGATTCGTTGACGATGATGTGACCTGATTGTCTACCCGAGTCACGAGTCTACTCCAAGTATTCTGTCAAGAGCTTTCTATCATTTTCTATCTCTTTCTCTCAGTGTCGAGCTCAAAGGGGATCCTTCAAGGTCGACAACGCTGAAAGAGAGCCTTGCTTCGTCAGGGTTGGTCAAATTGGTCTTCAGTCTCGGTCAACATCTCTTGGGTGTCAGCTCTTGTCTGAGAACTGTCAAGACCTGCCAGGGTGCGGGGCAATAGGCATCTACGGTATCAACACTCTAGAATTCTCTATACAAAAGGTATGTAATTCATGTAATGCTCCTGATGGCCTATCTCTTGTCCCACAAATGTTGTCCCCGCCTCCCTGACAGCAAAAACAAATTCCATACCGTCAGGAACCACCTGCGCTGGAAATACAATGAAACACATGAGCAAAGGAAATGCCAGGGGAATCTTTTGACACAAATTTTGTCTTGTACTCAAATAGGACCCCTACCAAGCAGGGGCAAAGAGTATCCTCGTCCTCATCTGCAGATCTCGGGGACCAGTTGAACATTCCACCTTCTTCTCCTGCGGCCAGGGTTAGCTTTATGGATATCTATTTGTATCAGCACATATCAGCATTGACTCTGCTGAAACAGGTTGCAGTCCACTCCGATCCACTGCCCAACAACAAATTTTGCGGGTCAACATCTCGTCTGTCAGGACAAAGCCCGAGCATATAACATATGTTTTAAAACAAAAACTCATCGCATCTTGTCCACCTTGCCTCCTACGTGTGTAGGCTTACGAGGTGACGGCAATGAGGTGGCTGAGGCCGCGGGTACGGATACAGAGCCTTGAGCAAACATCCCCCACCAAGCCTGGCTGGCTCCAACCCTCCTACGGCCTTCCTCCTGTCAGTGCAAGTAAACGAAGTTTCTCTTGTAACTTGTATCTTCTGAGGATTCTGCTGCATGGATGCCGGCTGCCAATATCTGACCTGTGCAGGAAGGCTCTCAGCAGCTTGAACTTTTGCGGTGCTCTGCATCCACCCCAACAGCTCAGCGAATCGAATCAGTCGAAGCCACTGGGCTCCCAAGCGGACGGGCACATGTTCGGACACCTGATCTGCTGGACTTATCTAGAGTGCTTTTTATCCTCACGTCTTCATGTTTGAGGCTTTTCATCAGTGTTCATCAAAGGGCACAAAATGCAACCATGGCAAACATCTGGCAACGGCTTTACGACGAGCCCGCTCATGCGAGGCCCTGGCCCGCACGGGCATGCACGGCTGATAGCCTGCGACCCTGCAAACAGGAACATTGTTGGTGCTTGTGGCAGGGGACATGTGCATTTTCTCAGACGATCGCCCGTCTCATCCCACACTTGTCTGGTGACTTGACTGTACAAGGCTCGGATGCAAAACAAGATTCGTACATGCATGAGACTCTTGACACTCATGGGTCGTACCAAAACCCGTGTCCTCTGCAAGCACGGCAGCACCAGCTGCAGGAGCCTTGGTGCGAATGGATTTTGGACTGGTGACTGGACTATTCGCGTCTATCCATGCGAGAACATCTCGAACCAGGTCCTTGAGAGAGGATTCTGTTCAAACAGCTCAGGCACATTCCTCTCTCAAGTCTTTTGCTGGCCGAAATTATGGGGCCCAAGCAGGGCAGCGAGCCACTGGTCTCTTTCCATCACGCTTGTCCGACCTTGAAGGATGTGACATAGGCAGCCGTCTTTCCCAGCCAGAACGGCTGTGCAACTCCCTGATGATATGAGTTGTTACGGCTTAGTTCTGCATAGAAACTCATACTCAGCCACAAAGGGGGGCACGGAGTGGTGGTGAAGGCCTCGGCAAACAAGCAATAAGCAGAAGGCCGAAGCTCGTAGGCTGCAACAGCCCCATCAAGCACAGCAAATGATGTTCTTCAAAACTGGAGGTGTTTATGGGTAACCCAACCAACTAAAGTGTACATACATACATACATACAGACAGACAGACAGACAAACAAACATAAACACATACACACATACATACATACATACATACATACATGGACCAGGGCAGTTCTTGGGTGATGACAAACTTGTCATGGTGAGCCACATTAACAGGGCAGTCACGATTGAAGGAACCATCACCAAACACAAAAGGGCCCTCAATCCTCATGGACCATATACAGTTCCAAGGTCACTCGACGGTTTCTCCAGGGCCAGCTCTGAGTACCTACCGATAGCCCACATTTGCCACAGAGGCCCCACACATGACACAGGGCATTATTTCGCGACCCTTGTCTACAAAGACCTCATGTGGATTGCCGATGATGGAGGCACACCAAAAGTCCTTCACTTTCTGACCCCACAACTTGCTGGGCAAATCGTGCAAGTTTGGGGCATCCAGGCATCAGCACTGGTGACACCACGACAAATAGCCCGGGCACTCCCAGAGCCGGAAACTCCGGACTACGATCCACCGCTTCACGGCACACCGCCCAAAAGGCCAAGTTTACACAAGAGTCAATGCGCATCCATGTGGCCAATATCACCTCCTTTGGGAAGCACACACTGGAGTGGCTATGGAGTCGAGATAATGAACTCCATGTCTTGGTTGAGACACACCTGGACTGCCAAAAACATCACTCCATGTGCCAGTATTTTGAAGTCCGGGGCCGACATGCTTTTGGTTTCCCGAGATCCATTCTTGTGGTGGCTGTCTACTTCAAGACCAATGAAACCATCCAGGGCCACACGAACTCCCCACTGTTAGCCCGCATCCTGGCGCTACTGCAGGCCTCCAACAGACAGTTCATGCTGGTTGGAGATTGGAACAAGGCCGCGTTTTTTTTTAAAGGATTTTTTCTGTTTTTTTTTTGGATTTTTTTTTCTGGTCCTGTTGTGGGCGCCTTCCCTCAGGCTCGTGTCTCCAAAATGATAGTTGTTTCTCCGCAAGCTGGCCACCTGCAAGTGCTCACCTTCTTTCCTTCCTTCCTTTCTTGCTGCCTTCTTTCCTTCCCTTCCCTTCCTTCCTTCCTTCCTTCCCTCCTTCCTTTCTTCCTTCCTGCATCACATAAGCAAAGCAAGGATAGCGAACAGCCACAAAAGCAAAAAGCAACAAAAGCCAACAGAAGCCTTCGAAAGTCAACACAAGTCACCAAAAGCCAACAGAAGCCAGCAAAAACCAACAGAAGCGAGCAACAGCTACCAGAAGCCACTAAAAGCCACCAGAAGCCAACAAAAGCCACCAGAAGCCACCAAAATCCCACAGAGGCCAACAAAAGCCACCAAAAGCGAGTAAAAGCCACCAGAAGCCAGCAAAAGCCGCCAGAAGCTAGCAAAAGCTACCAGAAGCCACCAGAAGCCAACAAAAGCCAGCAAAAGCCAACAGAAGCTAGCGAAAGCTACCAGAAGCCACCAAAAGCCACCAGAGGCCAACAAAATAGCCACCAGAAGCCAACAAAATAGCCACCAAAAGCCACCAAAAGCCACCAGAAGCCACCAGAAGCCACCAAAATCCAACAGAAGCCAACAAAAGCCAACAAAAGCCAGTAAAAGCCACCGGAAGCCAGCAAAAGCCAACAGAAGCTAGCAAAAGCTACCAGAAGCCACCAGAAGCCAACAGAGATACCTAATGCCTAAACGTGAAAAAATCCCAAAAAAAACGAAAAAAATCCTAGAAAAATATGAGTTCCTTGGAACAACCATCCGGAACAATTCCAAGGCATATTTCTGAGCTCCAAGTTTCATTGGCAAATCCTGGCTCCAGACGCAACCACGCTGAATGGCAACACTGTCGATTATGCCATCCTCCATCAAAACCTTGCAGCACACACCTCCATGACCACCGAGTGGGCAGTGCCATGGCGACCACACTGCTTAGTGACTTATGCACTAGAGTTGGATGAGGATTCCAAGCACTACAACCAGCTCCGGACCTTTCCAACCTTGCCCAAAGTGCCGGACATTGGATTCCGACCGTGGAGCACCTATCAGGTTGAGGACCTCACACTCTACGAGATGCCGTCCCAAACCAAGCGGCGCGAGAGCCTGGCAGACTGGATCTCCATCACTGAACAATACTTGCTCCAACAGCATCCATGGGCAGCACAAGGGCGAGCGTCCAATCTCATCGCTCAATACCAACCCTTGGTTCCAGCCAAAGCAGGAGCAATGTGGAAAAAAGGCAGACCAGCCTATTGGGAGCAGTTGCAGGCCAGGCTGAACATCATCCAAAATCAGCCCACCCATGCCAAAGGTGCCATGAAAGGCTTTGCCAAAGCCTCAACAACGTGCAGCAGCACTGGACCGGAGAACCAACATGGCCTCAATTCCTCGACACCAGCCACCATTGGCAACAACATCGTGATCAGCGCACCCTGGAGCTGATGCAACACACCATTCGGCATCAACTTGAAGCAGCGCAAGAACAAAGCAGAGATGAGGCCCATCTCCAATACGCTTGCTGAGTGGCTCAGGCAGGGAGAATCCAGAGGCTTGAAAGGACCCTTCAGGTCACTGAAAGCCAGCTCTCCTGGCAACGGCCCTATCGTGACATTCCCGTAGCGGACAGAATGAGACATAGACCCAGGGCCTGGCACACACATTGGAAACCCACAAAAATACAACCAGGTCATGCCCAGACTGTCTGTCCTGGAACCGGCTTGGCACAAGCAGCCCAGCTCCCGCCTTTGACCATAGGCGCCAAGACCCTGAAGCAGATCGAGCCTGTCGCCGATGCCATCACTCTTGCGTACGGCACCCGCACAAGCTCTTCCACCATTGTTGAAGCTTCTCCAAACCATGGAAGCCACGGCGGAACTCCCTACTCAGCTCAGCTCCAGATGAGCCTAGTTGTCATGCTGGCAAGAATGAGAAGGTGGAGCGGCCCATCACCCTCACCAGTGTGCTCTACCGCACATGGTGCCGCATGAGGAAAGATAGCACTTGAAAGGCTGCTGAGACAAGAAAGCAACAAAACACTGGGCGCTGCAACCGTGGCAAGGCTTGTCGGGGACATTAGACGCCACTCCAACATCATACGACAAGCGAGCACAAGCCTGGGTGTTTGCCCTGTGCATCAGTGCATCCACACCTTCTCCCGTGGCACCCTACTCAGAAAGGGCACCATCACCGGCACGCCACCAGGGCCACAAACCAAAGCAAGAGCGCCGTTCCAAGGGCTCCTCACGTTGGCACAATCTGTCCTGACACCAGTCAACGTGATTGTCCAGCTTGAGTCGGTGTGGGAGGCCTGGACCAACCCCCGCAAACGCAAGGGCTTCACCGACCTACAAGGGTTTCCACGGGAGCTTTTTGCCCGCATCACACCTCTGTATACCCACAAGAATCAGAGGAGCCCAGATGCACCAGGCAGCGAGCCCCACCTCCGCCAGCGCCAGAGGGATGCGGCACCATCTATGACCCTAACGCTGAAGCATGGCAGCGGACGCTTGACCAAGACCACTACGAGGCATACAAACATGCTGCAGCCGGCTTGAGAAGATCTACAAAGACCCACAGCACTACCTGCATGAGAAGCTGGTGCGGAGGGCTCACCACACCACAAAGCAGTATAAGAAGAGGTTGATCGAGCAGTGTCAACAGCCATGGATCACTGGCAAACATCAATGGGAGCCCCACCGCAGTGGGTACCAGTGTCACACGTGCCAAATCTGGGTTCACCAAGGGCTGAGGTTGAGACCATCGAACAAAGGCTCCAGCAACAATGCGAGCTTTTGACCAATGATGCACCCGAACCGGACATGCCGGCCCAAAAACCTGTCGGCAAGAAAGCTACCAGAGCCAGCATCATTGCTGACCTCCTAGATGAGCACGCCTTCCATTAAACAGCTGGATACCTCAAGTGCACACGCTGCAACCTCTCCGTCCACAAGAGAGCAAATGAGGACCTCTTCAGCGGGTTTGCGCACAGCCGCTGCATAAATGAGGCCTTCCAGAAGCCGCATGAGGCCCATCAGACCCACACACTGTGGCACAAAGGCAAGAGCATCAAATGCCGCAACTGAACTGCGGCCTCCAGAGCCACCTCGACGACGAGGACCGAGTCATTTTGACAAAAGGCTTTTCGCAAAGAGTGCAGGGGTCAAAACCAAGCATAACCCACGCTCGTGCAACTGTTTGGCTCGCAGGCCGAAAGCAGCCATGCCGCTTCTGACAAGGCAACACCAAGCACGCCGCAGCGGCCTAATACGCCGGCAGACACCCTTGCACCTCCAGCTCCCAAAAAACTGAAATTCTCTGGGCAGACCTCACCTGAGTTGAAAAAAAACCGTTCCAAAACCACTATCCCAGGTTGAAATCACAGCAATTCCAAGCGGTGGCCATCATGTACCCAACATGCGCTCATGTATATGGTTGTATGGTTGTATGTTGTGTATGCCCCTTTAACAGCTGCGTTCTTACTTACAGAGTCCAATGGTTCCAAGCGTGTGTGTGTGTGTAGGTCTGCAGTAGTGGGACTATACACCCTGGAAAGCACTTGGACAAGTGGTCAAAGTTGCAAAGGGGTCTAGCGCGGATCTAGCGCGGATCTAGCGCGCTTCCCTGCCAGTGCATGAGGCCACCAAACGTCTGTGATCAAGAACTCGCTTTCTCGTCTCTCAAACAGTTACTCCCTTTCAAACAGTTGCTGCCTTTTTCAGCGCGCGCTGCCTTTCAAACAGCTGCTGCTCTTGTGCCTGTGCGGGTGTGTGTGTGTGTGTCCACCCCTGGACAAAGGGTTTTCCACCGCTACTCCTTCCACTGTTTTTCAACCACCTTTTTCAACCTTCTACAGGCAGGGGGGCAGAGAGGACTTGCAAGGCTCTGCCCAACGAAGCTCCTTGCAAGATCCTAG